TCAGCAGGTCTGGCAGCATTTGTGAAGAGAAATCAAAGTTAACATTTCGGGTCCAGTGACCCTTCCTTTGAACCCTTCTGAGGAAGGGTCACTGGACCCAAAACATTGACTTTGATTTTTCTTCACAGATGCTGCCAGACCTGCTGAGCTTTTCCAGCAACTTCTGTTTTTGTTGTCAAACCATCTTCAGCTGCTTCATCTTTTATAAATCATCTCACAACTAAAAGCAAAATATTCATTTAACTCTTGAACTTTTTGTACCTTAGCCTGTTGGGGAATGGGTTCACATTATCTTCATCAAATTCCTGATGGTATGTATAAACATCTTTTCATTGATCTTACTATTCTTTGGCTCCATTTATTGCTATACTTACCACTTAGGTCCACTCTGGCCCTTGGCCCTTTTGGAAAAAAACCTTTACTTGACCCGAGCAGGACCAAATGGACCTAAGGGCAATATTTATTTCCAATGGCACATAACTCAGCACATAAGAACATAAGAACATTAGAACATAAGAACGAGGAGCAGGAGTAGGCCGTCTGGCCCTTCAAGCCTGCTCCGCCATTCAATAAGATCATGGCTGATCCTTTCATGGACTCAGATCCACTTACGCGCGTTCTCACCGTATCCCTTAATTCCTTTATTGTTCAAAAAAAATCTACCTTTCTTTTAAAAACATTTACTGAAGTAGCGTCAACTGCTTCACTGGGCAAGGAATTCCATAGATTAACAACCCGCTGGGTGAAGAAATTCCTTCTTAATTCAGTCCTAAATCTGCTCCCTCTAATCTTGAGGCTATGCCCTCTTGTCCAAGCTTCACCTGCCAGTGGAAACATCCTCTCTACTTCTATCTTATCTATTCCCTTCATAATTTTATATGTTTCTATAAGATCCCCCCTCAATCTTCTGAATTCCAATGAATATAATCCCAATCTACTCAGTCTCTCCTCATAAGCCAACCCCCTCAACTCCGGAATCAACCTAGTGAACCTCCTTTGCAGCCCCTCCAGTGCCAGTACATCCTTTCTCAAGTAAGGAGACCAAAACTGCACACAGTACTCCTGGTGTGGCCTCACCAGCACCTTGAACAGCTGCAACATAACCTCTCTGCTTTTTATTTCAATCCCTTTAGCAATGAAGGACAAAATTCCATTTGCCTTCCTAATTACTTGTTGTACCTGCAGACCTACCTTCTATGATTCATGCACAAGGACACCCAGGTCCCTCTGCATAGCAGCATGCTGCAACTTTTTACCATTCAAGTAATAATCCTTTTTACTATTACTCCTACCAAAATGTATGACTTCACATTTATTTACATTGTATTCCATCTGCCAGACCTTTGCCCACTCACTCAATGTATCTACGTTCCTCTGCAAAGTTTCACAGTCCTCTGCACACTTTGCTTTGCCACTCATCTTAGTGTCATCTGCAAACTTTGACACCCTACACGTGGTCCCCAACTCCAAATCATCTATATAAATTGTAAATAATTGTGGTCCCAACACCGATCCCTGAGGCACACCACTAGTCGCTGACTGCCAGCTAGAATAGCACTCATTTATCCCCACTCTTTGCTTCCTGTTAGTCAACCAATCCTCTATCCATGCTAATACTTTACCCTTAATGCCATGTATCCTTATCTTATGCAGTAGCCTCTTGTGCGGCACCTTGTCAAAGGCCTTTTGGAAGTCCAGGTACACCACATCCACTGGGTCCCCATTGTCCACCTCACTCGTAATGTCTTCATAGAATTCCAAAAGATTTGTCAAGCATGACCTGCCCTTCATGAACCCATGCTGCGTCTGCCCAATGGGACAATTTCTATCAAGATGCCTTGCTATTTCTTCCTTGATAATAGACTCAAGCATCTTCCCCACTACAGAGGTTAAGCTAACCGGTCTATAATTCCCCATCTTTTGTCTACTTCCCTTTTTAAACAGTGGCGTCACATTTGCTGTTTTCCAATCTGCTGGGACTGCGCCAGAGTCCAGCGAATTTTGGAAAATTACCGCCAGTGCACCTGCTATTCCTCCCGCCATCTCTTTTAGTACCCTGGGATGCATTCCATCAGGGCCTGGAGACTTATCAATCCTTAGCTCCATTAGCTTGCCCAACACTACCTCTTCCGTAATTATGATTGTTTCCAGGTCCTCACCTACCTTCGTCTCTTTGTCAATTACTGGCATGTTATTAGTGTCCTCCACTGTGAAGACCGATACAAAATACCTGTTCAATGCCTCGGCCATCTCATCATATCCCATAACTAAATTCCCCTTCTCATGCTCTAAAGGGCCAACGTTTACTTTAGCCACTCTTTTTCGTTTTATATATTCATAGAAACTTTTCCTATCTGTCTTTATATTCTGTGCTAGTTTTTTCTCATGTTCTATCTTACTTTTCCTTATAGCTCTTTTTGTGGCTTTCTGTTGACCTTTAAAGTTTTCCCAATCTTCTAGTTTCATGCTGTTTTTGGCCACTTTGTATGCCTTCTCTTTCAATTTGATAGCCTCCCTTATTTCTTTAGACACCCATGGCAGATTACCCCTTTTCTTACAGTCCTTCCTTTTCATTGGAATATACTTTTGCTGAGCACTTTGAAAGATTGCTTTGAAAGTTCTCCACTGCTCGTCAACTGTCCCACCATAAAATCTTTGTTTCCAGTTTACTTTAGCCAAGTCCTCCCTCATTCTATTGTAGTTCCCCTTGTTCAAGCACAGGACCCTTGTATTGGATTTTATCTTCACACTCTCCATCTGTATTCTAAATTCAACCATACTGTGATCACTCCTTCCAAGAGGATCCCTAACTATGAGGTCATTAATTATTCCTGTCTCATTACACAGGACCAGATCTCGGCTAGCTTGCTCCCGCGTTGGTTCCATTACATACTGTTCAAGAAAACTATCACGGATATACTCAATGAACTCCTCCTCAAGGCTACCCTGACCGAGCTGGTTCGACCAATCTACATGTAGGTTAAAATCCCCCATGATAATTGCCGTACCATTTTTACAGGCATTAGTTATTTCTTTGTTTATTGCCCGCCCCAATGTGATGTTATTATTTGGTGGCCTATAGACTACGCCTATCGGTGACTTTTTCCTCTTAGAATTTCTAATTTACACCCAAATGGATTCAACCTCATTCTCCATAGAACCTATATCATCTCTCAGCACCGCCCTGATGGCGTCCTTGAATATCAGAGCTACACCACCTCCCTTACCTTCCTGTCTGTCCTTCCGAACAGTCTGGTACCCTTGGATATTTAACTCCCAGTCGTGACCATCCTGTAACCATGTCTCCGTAATGGTTACCAAATCATATTCATTCGTGATGATTTGTGCCGTTAACTCATCAACCTTGTTACGAATGCTACGAGCATTCAGGTAAAGTGCCTTTATGCTCGCTTTCTTACCCTCATGATTTCCAACATCTCTAATAATATCTCCTGAGTTATCCTTCCTTTTTGCTTCTTTCATAGTCTGCCTTGAACTTAAACCCTCCTGCACACATGCTAACCTGCTGCTTACCTTTTTATTTACCATCATACTCCCTGTCGTTTTCCCTTTCCCTTCCCCCCAACTCACTAGTTTAAAGTCCTAGTGACCACCCTATTTATCCTTTTCGCAAGAACACTGGTTCTAGATCGGTTCAGGTGGAGACCGTCCCATCGCTATAGATCCCTCCGGTTCCAAAACTGATGCCAATGCCCCATGAAATGGAACCCCTCTTTCCCACACCACTCCCTTAGCCACGTGTTTACTTCCCTAATTTTCTTATCCCTAAGCCAATTTGCACGTGGCTCAGGCAGTAATCTGGAGATTATGACCCTCAAGGACCTGTTCCTTAATTTCGTTCCTAGTGCTTGATAATCCTCAAACAGGTCCTCCATCCTAGCCTTGCCTATGTTGTTAGTCCCAACGTGGACCACAACAACTGGATCCTCCCCCTCCCGCTCCAATATCCTTTCAAGCCGGTCAGAGATGTCCTGCACCCTGGCACCGGGCAGGCTACACACCATGCAGGACTCCCGATCCGGCTTGCAAAGGATACTATCTATCCCCCTAACTATAGAATCCCCTATAACTACCACTTGTCTTTTTGCTCCCCCCTCTTGAATGGCCTTCTGCACCATGGTGCCGCGGTGAGCTGGCTCATCCTCCCTGCAGCCCTTTTCCTCATCCACACAGGGAGCAAGTATCTCGTACCTGTTGGATAAGGTCAAAAGCTGAGGCTCCTCCACTCCTGAACTCAGGATCCCCCTACCTGCCTCACTTGCAGTCACACCCTGTTGTCCCTGATCACTAACTGAATTTGAATTACTTAATCTACCAGGTGTGACTGCCTCCTGAAATAAAGCGTCCAGGTAACTCTCCCCCTCCCGGATGTGCCGCAGTGTTTGAAGCTCAGATTCCAGATCTTCAACTCTGAGCCGGAGTTCTTCCAGCAACCAACACTTGCTGCAGATGTGGTCACTGCCGTTCACAATGGGATCAGCCAGCTCCCACATCATACAGCTACAGCACATCACCTGCCCAGCCATCTCTACTTAGTTAATTACTTTATTACTTTATCTCAATTTATGAGTTAAATACTTTCTAATACTTCTCTGCTATGGTCCTTTCAAATAACCAATTAATAGATAAATAAAAAAAAGAAAGTAAATTTTTAACCAATTACACAATACAGAAGAAATCGAAAAAGTATAAAAACCTTACCATCTACGGGTCCATTCAAAAGGAGACATGAAAAGATATTCAGACTTTAGGTCTTTTTGGTTTTCAGACATCTGGATAAAGAGTACCTAACCTATGTATCACCATTCCTTCAGTGTTGTTGTGTCAAACTCCCGGAAAACTCTCCCTAACAGTGCTGCCGATTTTGACAAGTCATTTGGCTCGAATCGTTAACAGTTTCTCTCTTTACAGATGCTGAGTTTCTCCAGCTGTTTTTACTTCAGATCTCCAGTATCTGTAGTTTTTTTTCTTTCATTATATCACTGTGCACATTCCAAACTACGTGGGCTGCAGCGGTTCAAGTTGACAGCTCACCATAACTTTCGCCAATTAGGATCAGGCAATAAATGCTGGCCAGCCAGTGCTACCACTTCCTGGCCTGTATCATTGCCTTATAGTTGTAGTACTGCAGAGAGACAGGAGGTGAGGCTGTTGACAACAGTTAAGCAGGAGCTTCATCACACCATGATGGTTTTGACCTTGGCCTAAATGTTACTGAGAATACCCATCATCAAAAATGATGCAGCACTGCAGGAGATCATTCAGCCCATCTGCTCGTGCTGGCTCTTTTAAAAGAGCTATCCTGGTTCTCCTGTTCTTCCTCTAAAATTCTGCAAACTTTTATCCTTCAGGAATTTATCCAATGTCCTTTTGAAAGTGAAAGCTGCGTCTGCTCCCATGCCTTTTCAAGTGGATCGCACCAACTTGCTGTGTCAAAAAAAGTTTCCTATGTTGTCTCTGAATTTCTTTCTGACACATGATTCTGTGTCTCTCATTTAACTTAACCTATTTTTCTAAACAACCTGTTCAGAGAAGTTATTATACACATCTAAAGCAGGTGGGACTTGAACCTGGGCCTCCTAGTCCAGGAGCAGGAACACTACCACTGTGTCACTTATTTTACTTGACACACTGTCACTGGAAACAGATTCATCTGATTTATTCAATCACCATCTTTTTGAATATGTTGAATTTCCCTGTAACCTTCCCTGTTCTCAGGAGAACAGCTCCAATTCCCCAGTTTCTCCACTTACATGTAGTCCCTCATCCCTGGGATTGTTCTGGAAAACCTCCCTTGCAGTCTCTCAAATATCTTGATGTCTTTCCTGAAACATGGGGTCCAGAACTGGGCAGTTATCCAACTGGTCCTTAACCAGAGATTTATAAAGGCTCAGCAGTAACTTCAATTTTTTAATACTGTATACTTGTATAAAGCCAAGGGTACCATAACTATTTGCAACAACCTTCCCAACCTGTCCTGTTAGCTTCAAAGATTGACATGCGTACACCTCCAGTTATCTCCAATCCTGCGTCATTTTAACAAATGTATCCATGGGGTTTATGTTGTCTCTCATTTCTTTAACCAAATTGAATCATATTACATTTCTCTTTGTTAGGTTATACCTGCTGTGTGTCTGTTTATTTCGCCAGCCAGTCTATATTCCCTGAAGTCTGTTACACTCCTCCTCATTGTTTATGACATTTCCCCAGTTTCACTTCATCTTCAGATTTTGAAAGTATATACCCAATGCTCCAGATCATTCAGTGTTCCCAAAACTGACTGCTGAGGAACCCCAATGTACACTACAGTATGAAAAACCACTGTTCACCATGAATCTTTGCTTTCTATCTCTGATCCAATTTTGTATCCACACTGCCACCTTCATTTTAATCCCATCGGCTTCAGTTTTACAAGAAAGTCTATTATGTGACTCTTCATCAAAGGTCTGTTAAAAGTCTGTACATATCAGTCACACTAGACTTGTTAACCCTTTCTGTTTACTTCAAAACCCTCAATAAAAATGAGTGAGATAACAAGGTATAGAGCTGGATGAACACAACAGGCCAGGCAGCATCAGAGGAGCAGGAAAGCTGACGTTTCGGGTCTGGACCCTTCTTCAGAAATGGGGGAGGGGAAGGGGATTCTGAAACAAATAGAGAGGTGGGGGAGGCAGATGGAAGTTGAATAAAGGAGCAGATAGGTGGAGAGGAGACGGACAGGTCAAGGAGGCGGGATGGAGCCAGTAAAGGTGAGCGTAGGTGGGGAGTTAGGATGGGGGTTGGTCAGTCAAGGGAACACAGACAGGTCAAGGAGGTTGGGATGAGGCTGGTAGGTAGGAGATGGAGGTGGGGGTTAAGGATAGGTGGGAGAAAAGACAGACAGGTCAGGGAAGCGGGGACGAGCTGGGCTGGTTTTGGGATGCGGTCGGGGGCGGGGAGATTTTGAAGCTTGTGAAAACATTGTGAAACATTGTTTGATAGATGTCGGGGGAAGATGTTAAAAGCTATTATTTAAGATGTTATTGCAGAGTGCTCAGAAAAGTTCAAGTTAATCAAGTAGAGTTGACACAATTTTGTGAAAGAGAAATCATGTTTATGCAGTTCATTGAGGAAATAACATGCGGTGCGTAAGGGAAACTAGTGAATGAACAGTACTTTAGACTTTCGTAAGGCATAAAGTTCAAAAATAGAAAATGGTGTATGAGGTAATAAAGTGGCATGTATAGAAGATTAGCAGAAAACAGAGGATAGACATAAATGTGTCATTTTCGAGTCAGCAAAATATACTGTGGGGTGCGCCACAGAAATTGGTGCTGGGACCTCAACAGTTTACAGTGTTTATAAATTTCTTGAATGAAGAGACTGAGAGTAATATACTAAATTTGCTGATGACACAAAGATAGATAGGAAACTAAGTTGTGAAGTGGACATACAGACAGTACACAGGATATAGATAAATCAGGTGACTGGGCAAAGACATGGCAAATAGAGCATAATGCAGGAAAATGTAAACCTGTCCACCTTGGCAGGAAGAATAAAAAAGAATACAGGCAGTCCCTGATTTATGAACTTCGAATTTATGAATACTCAATACTTATGAACGAGATCCCACATTAATATTAATTTTAAAGATCCAACATGGCTATTTTATATTGTGTTGTGTTCCAACTTGCATACGAACCAACATACAAACATACTCAGGAACAGAATCTGTTTGTAACCTGAGGACTGACAGTATTATCTAAATGGTGAGAGTTCCAGAGCTCTGAGATGCAGAGGCATCTGGCTGTCCCAGTGCATGAATCACAGAAGATTAGTCTGCACGTACAGCAAAACATTCAGGAAAGCTAACAAAATGTTATTGTTTATTATGAGGAGAAATTAATACAAAAGTGGGGAAGTTTTACAGGGCATTTTACAGAGCTAGCATCTGAGGTACTGTATATGCTATTAGTCTCCTTACAAGGGAGTGGCACTGTGGCTCAGTGGTTAGCACTGTTACCTCACAGCACCATGGACCTGGGTTTGATTCTACTCTTAGGCGACTGTGTGGAGTTTGCACGTTGTCTGGGTGGGTTTCCTCTAGATGCTCCAGTTTCCTCCCACAGTCCAAAGATATGCAGATTAGATAGATTGGCCACGTTAAATTGCCCATCGTGTCTAAGGATGTGTGGATTGGGTGGATTAGCCATGGAAAAATGGATGGTTACAGGGATAGTGTAGGGGGTGGGATGCTCTTTGGGGGTCAGGATGAACCAAATAGCCTGCTTCCACACTGTAGGGATTCTACAAAAATAAGAAAAAATTTAAATCATGGGAAGTATTTCAAAGGAGGTTTACCAGACTCATACTTGGAATGGGCAGGTTGTCTAATGGGGAAAAGCTGGACAGACTAGACTTATATTTGCTGATGTTTAGGAGAGTAAGAGGTGACTTGATTGAAACATACAAGATCCTAAAGGATTCTGACAGGGTAGATATGCAGAGCACCTTTCTCTTATGTAAGATTCTAGACTCGGACATCACAATTTAAAACCGGGGTCGCCATTTAAAAGAGAGATGAGGCAAACCTTTTCCTCTCAGGGGGTCATGTGTCTTTAAACTCCTTTCCTGAAAAGATGGTGGAAGCAGAATGCTGGCATATTTTTAAGGAGACGTAGGTAAATTCTACCTCTATTAGAGAGTGAAAGCTTATCAGGCAAGGTAGGAATTTGGAATAACCAGATCAACTAAGATCTTATTCAATGGTGGAGCAGGTTTGAGGTCTGAGTGGCTTACTTCTCCTAATTTGCTGCTCACATGTTGTTAATTCTCCAGTCCTGTATCAAAGGAAGATTGGAAGATTCTGGCTAGAGCCTCTCCAATTTCCACTTTTTCTTCCATCAGAGATCAATGACACTTCTCAATTGATCCTAAGATTTTTTGCTTTAAAGTTACTGAGTATTAACCACCTCTTTATTCATTTTCAACCTATTCACTGTCATCATTGTCTCATTCCCTGTCACCTTAGCAATACCTTCACTCCAAATGTTATCAAAAAATGGCTGAAGGCACTGGACGCTGCAAAGGGTGTGGGCCTACACCTCCAGAACTTTCTGCACCACTAGCCAAGCTGTTCCAGTACAACTACAACACCAGCAACTACTCAACAAAGTGAAAAATTGCCCAGGTGTGTCCTGTACACAAGAAGCAGGACAAATCCAACCCCGCCAATTACTAGCCCATCATTCTCTGCTCATCAGAAAAGTGGTGGCTAGTATTGTTGACACCACTCAATAATAACATGCTCATAGATGCTCAGTTTGGTTTCCTCCTAAGGACATTGGCTCCACATCTCATTTCAGCCTTTGGCCAAATATGGTCAAAGGATCTACACCTCCACATCGGGGATAAGAGTGACCTGGACAACATCCAGGCTTGGGCTGATTAGTGTTACTTCAAATATCACATCAGAAGATGGCCAACTCTGAGAACCTAACCATCATCCCTTGATATTCAATGGCATTACCATTACTTGAAACCCTACTATTAATATCCTGAGGGTTACCATTGACCAGAAATGGAACTGGACTCATCACGTAAACACAGTGGCTACAAGAGAAGATCAGAGGCTAGGAATACTGCAGCAAGTAACTCACTTCCTGACTCCCCAAAGCCTGGCACAAGTCAGGAGTGTGATGGAATACGCCCCACTTGCCTGGATGGGGACAGCTCCAACAACACTGTGGGGGCTGAGGGGGTCAGTGAGGGGCTGGTGCAATGGCAGGTCTGAGGGAAGGAGATGTTTTAGTAATGATGGAGGCCCAAGAAGGGCATGGATGGAGGTTAATGAGGATGGGGGTAGGGCTGGGGGTGAGGGGAGGGGCTGGAGGTTAATGTGGGTGGGGTTGGGGGTGGAGGTTGAGGTTAATGAGGGTGGGGGTGGGGGTGAGGGTGGAGGTTAATGTGGGAGGGGGTGGGGGTGGAGGTTAATGAGGGTGGGG